GTGGAACATAGAATATGTACATATCTTCATCTTTAATACATAATGCCAAACAATTTTCCCCAAATGCATTTACCTGTTTACACTAGTGCTAGAGTGTATGAGACTTCCTCTTGTTCTACATAGCTCCCAAACTAAGCATTACCAGATTATTTAAGTGGCTATCATTTTGCTGGGTGTATTTAGTATTTCAGTTTTATGTTTCTTGATTTATAAATGAGGTTGAGCACCTTTTGTATTATTGGACATTTTTTGCATTCCATTTTGTGCAATAGCTGTTCACATAGTCTGCCTATTTTTCTATAGCTGTTGTATTTTTCTATTATTTTTACAATTTTATCATATTTTGGATATAACCCCTTTCTTGATTTTGCACTCTTATACTCTATCACTTGGGATCAAGAATAATTTTTCCCCAGGGATATTCAACTGGATCAAGACCATTTCTTTAAAATGAGTTCCACATATTTTTTAAAAAAACAATTGTCCATTATATATGCATGGTGTTTTTCCGTTCTTATCCATGTAACTTTTTTTTTGCATCAATGCCATTTTGCTTCTTTCATTTCCACCTAAATTTTCCACAAAAACAGCTTCGTGAACTTTTGATGTGTATTGCATTGAATCTAGTATTGAAGAACATGAAACTAGTTGACATCTTTATAAGAGTCATCAATTCGTGAACATGGTCTATTTGTCTAAATAATATGTAAAATTTCTTAATATTTTATAAATTTTTAATGTAGAGGTTCTATACATCTTTCATTAGATTGATTCTTAGGTATTTGCAATTTGTGATCATTATGCACATCAGCTTTAAGTTAAAAATTTATTTCTGTTTAATAATGATATATATGAATATGTTGTATTTTTTGTTTTGTTTTAACATGTTATTAATTCTAGTAATTTATCTACAAGTGCTTTATATTTTTTTATATAGACAATCATCCTATCAGCAGATGATAATGGTTGCATTTTTTTCTTTTCAGTTCTTATACTTTTTATATCCTTTGTGTGTCTTATGGCATTGGGTAGAACCACTAGTGCTATGTTAAATAGAATATTAATAATATTAATATTTCTGGTAGTAAAGAATTCTCTAACTTTTAGATATCACAAATATGCTTATTTCACCATCACTTTTGAAAAATAGTTTTGTTGAGTTGGAAGTTATTCACCACCCCCAGCACTTTCAAGATGACATTCCATAGTCTTCTTTTGAAAAGATGGCTGTCAAGATTATTGTTCAGGTGGTGTGCATTTTCTTTTTCTTCAGCTCCTTTTCATAATTTTTCTTTGTTTTTGATTTTTCCATTCCTTTATTATATGCTCAGTTTTAATTTTTTTGGTTTTATCTAGCTTGTAGTTTTTAAAGCTTCTTGAATATGTGGCTTGATGTCTTGCATCAGTCTAGCAAAATTTCAGCTGTCTGCCTTCAAACATTGCTTCTGCCTCATGTTATTTTCTTCTCCTCTTCTGTAATTGAAGGGATATGTGGATTAAATTTTTCACCATATCTCTTATATCTTCAGTGCCCTATCTATTTTTTGAAAATCATATTTGATCTTTTTTATTACATGCTGGATATTTTATTCTGACCAATCTTCTACTTTAGCATTTCCCCCTTTCTTCTTAGTTCAGTCTAGTGTTAAAATCATTGATTGAACCTAAACTTCAATTATGACATTTTCAACTTTAGAATTATAATTTTCCTTTTAGAAATAAATTAACATTATGGTGAATTTTTAAAACTTATTACATTAATCACAGTTTATTTTTGACCTGCTGGATCACTGTAATAATTGGATCATCTGCATCTTTTTCATTGTTCATTTTTTCTTATGATCCTCTTGCTCAGTTAGCTTGATAATGTATTGAATTCTGGGTATTGTGCATGGAAGTTGTAGTTCTAGATGTAGTTATATTCCTCCACATATGTGGATTTAGGGCATTTATGGAAAGACTTGAAATAAAATTTTTCTCTTTTTATCTACTACAATGATATCTATCATTATAAATCTTCCAAACATTTTACTTTTATCTCTCAAACTCCCCAGGTTGATTTTATAGTCTCCCCACCATTGGTATCATGAGAACCAAGCTTATTGAAGTTTATAACTGTTTAATTACCCTACTTTTTTTTTTTATCCTGGATACTGGCTAATGCTATAGGAATTTTGTACCTCACTAAGTTCTATTCATTTGGCCTAGAATTTTAAAACTGGATGTGACCTAAGAGATAGTAATTTCTCTCAATTTAATGATGACTAAACTGTGGCTCAGAGACATAAAAAAACTTGCCTAACGCTATTAATGTGAATGCATAGACTAAACCCAAAAGTTCTAGGATTTTGCCCCATTGTCCCTTTCACCATTAAATGAGCTCATTTGGCATTAATGAAGGCAATGGTATTGTGAGGAAAACTACTTAATTTACTTATTCTCTCAGAGGCACTTTAGCAATACTCAGATTTTCTCTTCAGAATGGATATATAATATAAATATTTTAGCTCAATACTTTATAGGAAAGTTGAACCATTATAAATGTAAAGATATGTATGGTATACACACAATATGCATTCATAGGATAAATTATTTTTATACATAATTTTGGTCAAATTTGACCCAGATGCATAAATTATTTATAAATCTTTAAAAGATTACTTCAATTTCACCTGCTATTTCTCAGCAGTGTGATAGACCTATAGAGTTTTCTATAGATAGGAGCAAAATATATTATAGCTTATTAAAATTTTATTCTGGTTTTGTAGCAAATAAAGAACATTTAGACTCCAATGAAAAATTAAATTTTCTAGTGTAAAATCTTCCTGAATACTTCCCAGTGAATTAGGAATAGACGCCTCCAAACTACCTGGTTTTCTTAACCTAAATTCAGTGTCAATGAAGGGTTTTTATTTCTGCAGTGGGGCTTAACTGTAACTGAAATTTCCAGAGAGACTAGCTAGTGAAAAGTTCAGTCAATGAAGTAATCTATAATACTTTATTGGAAGAATGGTTTGGAAAAAGATTTAAAGAATTTTCTCTACCTATGGAGCCATCTATAGAATTAAGATTAGAAAGTCTATAATTGTTGAGAAAGTAACCTCCAAAAAAGAGTTGAGCATTAAAAGACAAATGCAAGATGATAATTCAAAGACTTAATATAATCTAACAGATGAAAAGGTGGATCAAATGTCAAGAGTTTTGTTTTCTCCTGAAATATCTTTATAGTTACATGAAAATATTATAAACTAAGAGAAGCATGTGATAGTGTTGATGACATTTTCTCCAGTTAGTATCTTTTAAAAAATATTTAAATATATACTGAAAATATTCTGTCTATACAATTACTATGCATACACTGTAAATACCACACTGTCGGTTTGGCTGTTAAATACTTAATATTTGCCTTTTTCAAAGTAATTTATTTATACTATAGTTTCATATCACCATGCATCTGTAATAGAAGGTGTATCAATGTTAACTGATATTTTTGACACAGTGATTATAATTTTCCTTTTTATTATTGTGCATTAAAATATTTAAAAGTTATTAGCTGTTTGGTAAGTAGTCTTGAAAGTTGATTAGTGTTTAAATTCTTTAGTGTTTGGATGATCTGAATGCTAAGGGGAAAGTCAGAACAGTAGAGATAGTAAGACTTTTTCAAAAATTAAATGAATGATATATACTTTAATAATTATATCAGAAATAAATCCAGTAATATTTTATTTCTTTACATTACTACTTTGAATACTAGGAAACAAATTAATTTCAAATGACTTTGTATTTTTTTTAGTAATTCCTTATTGCTTTTCAAGCTATTCTTCGTATTACCACTTTTCCACATTTGTTTTCTACATTGACACACACACAAATACTTCAAGTCCCACATATGATTTATACCAGAACTAAGGAAATATATTTGGGATTTATGCTTTATATGTAAAAGTGTCAAGTAATAGAATTATTGATGTCCTGGACCCTTTATCTTCACAGATAAGGAAGATTTTGTAACATTTAAAGAATTTTAAGGAGTATATACTACAGCCGAATGTTAAATATATTTTCATTAGAAAGATTGGGGACATTTTCTTCTGGCTACATTTATTAAGTGATATCTAAGTGGTATCATGCAGCAAATCAACTGGAGGGTTCAAAGAGATAAAATTAACATAGAGTTAGCCCAGTTAATAATGTGCTTTATTTTCACTCTTTTAATTCTTACTAGAACCCAAACATTTTATGGAGTAGTTTATCTACAGACATTAGGATTTTTATTTGTTGCATAAAAGCAAAGATATGTGAGCCCACAATTTATATCAACATGGACTTATCAATAATAGCAACTTGATGAAATGCTGTCTTGATGAATCTAATTAGAAAATTGTGTCAAGATGTTTACCAAAATTGATTTACTATGATTAAGGCTTCTAGAAAATTTAAATCTCCACATTATAATTTTTCAGTGAACACTAAAGGTAGTTGGGTGATATTGAGAGAAATTAAAGAAATGGATTTCAGCAATTTGAAAATCAGACTTCCAAAATGGAACTCAGACAAGAATACTATTCAAATAGTTTTAGTTACTTTGAAAATAACATCCAATATTAAATACTGCCAATAGGAGTATGAATTTGTTTTATGAGTAACATAAAAGTAGTATACAAACATAGCATCAAAATAATAAAAACTCAAGAAATTTTAAATAAAATATATTGAAACAGAAAAGATAAAAAACTAAAACGTTTAAAGTCAGCTAGTGAATCTATAAAGCCTCTCCTTATAGAAAATAAATCAATAATTATCACTTTAGAAAAGATTGGTGTGGCACTACTCAATTAGTAATGACTTTGCAATGTTTAATGAAAATTTATCTTTTATTAAAAATTTATGGTTATATTTTGATTAGAGATAAGGGAAATAAAGAATACTCGAGTCATTGAAATGAGGAAATATTTAACAAATATAAGGAAAATAAAGCATATCAAGGTAAAATACTCACCCTTTCATCCACATGATGGCGCTGGAAACCGCGTTTTTATTTTATTTTTAAACAAAGGAATACAGTACAGTGAGTTTACATTCCTTAGAAAAAGGCCACTCCATTTTTTCCTCAGCGGCTGAAGATGAAAAGGCGAGCAAGTAAAAATTAAAGCAAATTGGGAATTAAGTTTCCCAAAGCTGTTGTGTGGTAGTGCAAAGACGTTTGAAAATTGCACCAAATTTGCGATGGTATATTCCCAAAGAAGTACGGGAGCCCGGCGTCTGCTGCTCTCATTTCTGCTTATCGCAGCCTGGGAGGCCGGGAGCGGCCAGGTCCACTACTCCATCCAGGAGGAGGCCAAGCACGGCACCTTCGTGGGTCGCATCGCGCAGGACCTGGGGCTGGAGCTGGCGGAGCTGGTGCCGCGCCTGTTCCGGGTGGCGTCCAAAGGCCGCGGGGACCTTCTGGTAAATCTGCAGAATGGCATTTTGTTTGTGAATTCTCGGATCGACCGCGAGGAGCTGTGCGGGCGGAGGGCGGAGTGCAGCATCCACCTGGAGGTGGTGGTGGAGAGGCCGCTGCAGGTTTTCCATGTGGAGGTGGAGGTGAAGGACATTAATGACAACCCGCCAAGGTTCTTGCGACAAGAACAAAGATTATTTATTTTAGAATCAAGAACAGTAGATTCCAGGTTTCCGCTAGAGGGCGCATTTGATATGGATATCGGAGCAAACGCAGACTTGAGATACAAGTTAAATTCTAATGAACATTTTCATTTGGATGTGAAAACAAATGAAGAAGGAACTAACTCTTTAGGGCTAGTATTGACGAAGCCAGTAGATAGAGAAGAAACCCAAGAACTTCGTTTATTACTGATTGCAGTGGATGGAGGAAAACCTGAGCTAACAGGTACTGTTCAGTTATTGATCAATGTATTGGATGCAAATGATAATGCCCCAGAATTTGATAAATCAGTGTATAACGTTAGATTACTTGAAAATACACCGAATGGGACGTTAGTTATTAAACTGAACGCCTCAGATGCAGATGAGGGTATTAATAAGGAAATAGTGTACCTCTTTAGTAATCTTGTTCTTGACAATGTAAAATCTAAATTTACAATCAATTCTAATAGTGGGGAAATAACGGTTAAGGGAGAACTGGATTATGAAGACTGTAATTTATATGAAATTAACATCGATGCTGTAGATAAAAGTCCATTCCCATTAACTGGACACTGCAAAGTAATAGTGAAACTCTTGGATGAGAACGATAACACTCCCGAGATGGCCGTAACTTCCCTGTCTCTGCCTGTCAAAGAGGACGCTCCACTGGGCACCGTCATTGCTTTGATCAGTCTGTCCGACCGCGATTCCGGTGCCAACGGACAAGTGACCTGCACCCTGTCGCCACACGTACCCTTCAAGCTGGTGTCCACCTTCAAGAATTACTATTCATTGGTGCTGGACAGCGCCCTGGACCGCGAGAGTCTGGCGAACTATGAGGTGGTGGTGACAGCGCGGGACGGGGGCTCGCCTTCGCTGTCGTCTACCGCCAGCCTGTCCGTGGAGGTGGCCGACGTGAACGACAACGCGCCGCTGTTCGCGCAGCCCGAGTACACGGTGTTCGTGAAGGAGAACAACCCGCCCGGCTGCCACATCTTCACGGTGTCGGCGCGGGACTTGGACGCGCAGGAGAACGCGCTGGTGTCCTACTCGCTGGTGGAGCGGCGGGTGGGCGAGCGCGCGCTGTCGAGCTACGTGTCGGTGCACGCGGAGAGCGGCAAGGTGTACGCGCTGCAGCCTCTGGACCACGAGGAGCTGGAGCTGCTGCAGTTCCAGGTGAGCGCGCGCGACGCGGGCGTGCCTCCTCTGGGCAGCAACGTGACGCTGCAGGTGTTCGTGCTGGACGAGAACGACAATGCGCCTGCGCTGCTGCCTCTGCCTCCCGGGCGAGATCAGCACGACGCGCGCCCTGGACGAGGCGGACGCACCGCGGCAGCGCCTGCTGGTGCTGGTGAAGGACCACGGGGAGCCGGCGCTGGTGGTCACGGCCACTGTGCTGCTGTCGCTGGTGGACAGCGGTCAGGCGCCCAAGACCTCATGGCGAGCATCTTCCGGCCCCGCGAACGCGGAGGCGACGCTTGTGGACATGAACGTGTATCTGATCATCGCCATCTGCGCGGTGTCCAGCCTGTTGGTGCTTTCGCTGCTGCTGTACACGGCTCTGCGGTGCTCCGCGCCGCCCACGGAGGGTGCCTGTGGCCCAGGGAAGCCCGTGCTGGTGTGCTCCAGCGCGGTGGGCAGCTGGTCTTACTCACAGCAGAGGCGGCAGAGGGTGTGCTCTGGGGAGGGGCCGCCCAAGACGGACCTCATGGCCTTCAGTCCCAGCCTACCTCAGGGTCCCAGCTCTGAAGACAATGTGAGTCTCAAATATTTTATTCATGGCTATTTTTGTCATGTCTTTCATATTTATTGTTTAATATTTCTCTCAATCTTTTTTTTTATTTTAAACTAGAGGCTGGGTGCACAAATTCATGCACGGGTGGGTCCCTCAGCCTGGCCCGCGATTGGGGCTGAGGGGGCGGCCAGCAACGGGGAAGTTGGCTGGCCCGGAGGTTGGCTGTGGGAACAGCTCACCACCAGGGGGCAGCTCTGCATTGAGCGTCTTCCCCCTGGTGGTCAGTGCACATTGTGGCTACCGGCTGGTCGCCTGGTCATA